CTTCTGAGACCTGGAAAGAACTTTAGGATCCCCTGGACACACTTTAAAACCTGAAGTGTTAGATTAACAACTACACTGGGACCAGAAAAGCCAATGAGACAGGCTCCAGAAGAGAACAGTTGTAAGCCCAAGGTATTTGTCAAAATGCATTCATCATCATACAGCCACAGGTACTTTAGGGGAAATTTTTTTGCCTGTGTCTTTTTTGTTTTGTTTTCTTTCTTTTGTGTTTTTTTGTTTATTTGTTTGTTCTGTTTGTTTCAAGACAGGATTTCTCCATGTAGCCCTGGCTACTCTGGAACTGTGAGGACTAGACTGATCTTGAACTCAGAGATCAACTTCTACTGCCTCTGCCTCTACTGCCCAGCCCTTTCCTTTTCTTATAAGCACTAACTATTGCTACCAATCAGAAAGGCAGTGTTTCACAAAGAAGTAAGGTACCAAGTCTGAAGTTTCTAAGGTCACTTAGCCAAGGGGACATTTCTAATATAAAATTCTCTAAATATCTTTTTATTAACTTCCCCACACCATCTTCTGAAGCTGGAAATGGGTAGGTCCAGGCCTGCTGGATGTACTATATTTCAAAAAGCTAGCACAGAATTGGTCTACCTGGGGTTTGGGCTTATCCAGCCTGGAACTTCAGAATTCAAGCTAAGTGAATTCTGATGGAAACTTAAGCACACCATGAGTGTTCGGCATGAGAGTCTCCACGAATTTGATGATGGGTCATAACAGTCAAATTAAGATTAACCTCTTTAAATCTTTGCAGCCCTGTAAGATACTTAATAAACACAACAAAGCTGAAGAGCTAAAATGCCTGAGGCATATAGACTCTTGCACTTTGGGGATGATTTAAGACCCTTCTCAAAGTAAGCTGCCCCCAAATGTCAATCTCACTGTTTCCATGAGGTTCAGTCTTTCAGCTTTGTAATGAGGGTATTAGGGAAGATCCTAACCATGATCCAGAAGCTCAGGGTATCAGACAAACAAAGTCCCAGAACAGCATCTCCACACTAAATGAAAAAGAAATCACCCAATGGCTGCAGAGGTTTACCAGAGCCTGGCCTGAAGTGGCACCTGTTAGGTATCTTGGCCTGTTTCTTCCCTGTTTGTCCTTATCCTAACTCTACCTACCTGGCTGACCTTGTCTGTACCTTCTACAAAACTGAAAAGATTAGAAGAATATGATCAAAAATTATTTTTTTCTCATGAGTTCAAAGGGCTAAACTCAAAACCCCTTGATAATAAACCAAGGTGATGAATTTATGCCTTTTGCTCTTAAAATAAACTTTTAAAATGAACTCCTAGAGAGGCTTTTTTTTTTTTTTTTTTTTTTTTTAACTCTTCAGGGTTTCAGCTTATGAATTTCTGTGGACAGGAGAGGTATGTGTCTAGCCCTACTGGTTTCCTACAGGCTTTTCTGTGGTGACATAGACAAGTATCACAGGCAGTAGCTGCACCTACACCTGCACACTGGGCTGGCTGTGTGTTCTTCCTGTGCCTTTTAACTTCTTTTTACTTTACTGCAGTGCTGATGATGGAACCCAGGGCCTTATGCATGTGAGCTATACTGCCAGCCCACTTCCTATGCCTTTGTGCTTCTCCTTGTCTATCATTCCTTGCCATAGCCACTGAAAGCCAACAAATAGAAGGAAACTCACACTGTCTGCAGGGAACTGGCATGCTGAGCTGCTGGGAGTTCTGTGCCTTAACCCACACCAGAATCTTTTGTTTCTACCCTTGGGAAACCAGAAAAGTAGAAAACAGAGTTGGCAAAGTTAATGAAATTAATGTTGAAAAAGGAATGAGGAGAGGAAGAAGAGGATTCATCACCTCTCCTCTATCAACCCACATTTAAAGCAAACAGTAAACCATCTTACTTTGTCTGTTCCAGGCATCTTTACTAATGATTTTATTCAGATGCCAACTCTTAAGAAAGCTGCCTTGTGCCACACTTTCCAACAGAAATAAGCTACTGCTCTTAGGCAGGTAGAGACACATACTTAGCTCCTAGTTCCCCATATTCAATAACTACTTCACAAAGAGTAAACACAAGAAGTGCTCCATGATTCAATATGTACCTAGGGTTTCTATTCCCCTGGCTTCAGAGACCAGCAGGCCAAACCATATTAAAACTCACCAAGTAAACCATGGTGCAGTTAATTCAGGCAGTGGAGGAAACAGTTTGGTTCTGAATGGCTTCAACAAATGCCCATCACTAAACTGTCTAAGCACAATAAGGATTATACTTTGGGCCCTGCTACAACCCATTATAGACACAAGAGATGGAGCACCTCTGGGCTGGGGAAAACAAACAAAGCCAGTAAACTGAACATGGACCAGCAGCAGCTTAAGCATAGGAGCAAAAGGCATATTCAAAGCAGAGACTTACAAGGAGAACACTGTTCCTACACTTTGGATGCCGCTGGCATATCTCCTAAAAAAAACACTAACTCTCAAGAGGGTTACTGATCCTAACCATCATTAAACAGCTCTGGTCAACTACTGAAATGATGAAGGATCAAGGCTGAGCCACCTCAAACACCCTGAGATTCAACTTAGTGAACCATAAACCAAACAGGCTGTAATTTGTGTCAGGCTTTCTCTTCCAATGAAAGGGCAGGAAAACTTGACAAGAGTCATGGAGCTTTGCAAAACACAAATGAGACTCTGAGGGTCTCTAGGACCAAAGACCTTTTAGGATGGCAACAAATTCTTTAGGGCTGGGCAATAGTGGCGCACAACTTTAATCCTAACACTCAGGAGGCAGAGGCAGGCGGACTTTGAGTTCGAGGCCAGTCTGGTCTGCAGAGCAAGTTCTCCAAAGCTACACAGAGAAACCCTGTCACAAAAAAAAAAAAAAAAAATCTTTAGGTTTGAGATGGCTCCCTGCACTAATGCTACCTCTTCTCTGACCTGGATATCCAAGAGAGCCTCATCTTCCAGGAACAGAACTCAGCTGTCTTCCCAGGATACATAGATCTGTAGCTTTGGGGACCATAAATGTCTATGCAATAAGACTACTCTTAAGGACTACAGTAGGATGATAAGGCCTATGAGGCCAAGATATGAGCCAACCTGGAGTCCATCTGAGGGCCTAGCAACAGGTACTGTCAGAAGTTTGGATTGGGCTGGAGAGATGGCTTGGTGGTTAAGAGTACTGCCTGCTCTTCCAAAGGTCCTGAGTTCAATTCCCAGCAACCACACGGTGGCTCACAACCATCTGTAATGAGATCTGGTGCCGTCTTCTGGCGTGCGGACATGTATGCAGACAGAACATTGTATACTTAATAAATGAATGTTTAAAAAGTAAAAATAAAAAAGAAGTCTATCTAGCCAATGATAGGTGACTGTGGAATGTCACCAGAGTGGGACCCAGCCTGGGACCTGGAAGGAGGAGGATATATAAGTTTCTCCCACTGCTGAATAAATGAGTCTGCTGTTTGCCTTTACCTGACTCCTGGTGTCTGTGCCATTGACGCCAAGCCTTCTCACCCCACTCCCCAGAGGGAGATGTTAAGACCCAGCATCAGGTTCTAGTCATCTTCCTCTGCTCACTTGGGACACTGTGTAATAGCACTCCCAAGACAGTGTGTTTTAGTGAAAAGGCCCATCTATGTTGTGTGTCCTCAATCCCTTTGGCAGATAAGCATTGGGACCCTACTTTCCCACTTTCTTTCCTTCTTTTGTGTTGTCTGTCATGTTTGTCTACTTGTCCATTTAGGAAGGCACATCCCTCCCCCCCCCATTCGCTAGGACCCTCCACATAAAGGTTGACCCCTGCTCCAGGAGGTGGAACCAAGGTACTGACCCTTCTCACCCCCTCCCCCAAGGGAGCTGTTAGGACCAGCAACAGACCACCTTTCCCCTAACCAAAAATTCAAATTACTTTCACAAAATCCTCCCTTAAAAAAAAAAAGATCTACTTTAAAACAGGTTATGGCCAGGCAGTGATGGCCCATGCCTTTATTCCCAGCACTTGGGAGATAGGTACAAGCAGGTGGATCTCTGTGAGTTCCAGGCCAGCCTGGTCTACAGAGCAAGTTCTAGGACAGCTAGGACTGTTACACAGGAGAAACCCTATCTCGAAAATCCAAACAAACCCAAACAAACCCAAACCAAACCAAACCAAACCAAACCAACCAACCAACCAACCAACCAACCAACCAACCAACCAACCAACCAACCAAACCAGGTTATGACCTATCAGATTAAAAGTTCCCGATGGTTGGATTTCCAAAGTAAATTTATTTCTATCTTATACTGCAGTCAGAAATTATACTGACCTTAGCAGCTAAAAAGCTTTTATTTGCTAGAGCTTTTAAACAGTGGCACATGAGCCAGGCCTTGTATCTCACCTCACTTCCTAGTCACCTATGAGGTAAGTTCTAATGCAAGGCCATAATTGCTGTCTGCTGTTCTGAACCCAAGGAAGCTCTAAATTCCAAGAGTCTTTCCATAACGTACTTGGCAACAAAATTAATGAACCTGAACTCATTTGGAGGCAAAGCAGCTGTGAGCTAACAGAAGGCTATTTAGATTTTAGTTATTCCATTTAATGTGGATATCCATGATTTACACACATATATGTGTGTGATTACTTAGTATGGGCCTAGGTCCTCAAGGTTACTTAATAGACAATATATATACATCTTTCCTAAACCTCCCAAATCTTAGGTCTAAAACATCTGCCCCCACCAAAGGTGTAAAACAGTACTATGGTATCAACCCATTTCACAGATAAGAGACTGAGACTCTCAGGGAAAGCAATGTGCCCAAGGCCACACAGTAAGCAGAGGTAGAGCAGACTCTGAGGCTGGGGCCTCCTTCAGGGCCAAAGCTCTGGGCCCCATGGTTTTGTGTCTGCTCACACAGCTTCAGAGAAAGGAGTGCTGTGCCAGCATGGCTCTTCTCCAGAACCAGCTATTTATAACTCAGGAAGACACTTAAGTGGAAAACACCAACCACAATGGCAGTGACACAGAAGGGCTGGTGCTTACCTTGCCCAGGACAGTGAGACATGGTTTGGGGTCCAATTCTGGCTGTTCGAGCTTCACCACTCCTACCCAGCCATATTCATACAAGTCCTCTTCATCATTGTTATTACACAGGCCTAGTGGGTGCATCTGAGAGACAAAATGGAAAAAAAAAAAAAAATGTCAACAGACTGGCCACAGACTGGCTTGAGTTCTTTGTGTACTTCTCATTGTATACTAAGCCAAAGCCACCTCAAAACTTTAAACTTTAAGGCATAGTTTTTCAATCCACAGGGAATTCCATTTCATTACAGTGAGCTAAGCACTGGAGAGAACACAATAAAACCACTAGAAATAGATATTATAAGGGCTAGAGAGATGACTCAACAATTAAGAGCAATGGCTGTCCCAGAGGACCCAGGTTCAACTCCCAACATGCACATGGAGGTTCACAACTGTCTATAACTCTGGTTCCAAAGGATCTGATGCCCTCTTCTGGCTTCCATAAGCACCACCCTGCATGTGCTACACAGACACATACAAACAAAATATCCACAGCCATAAAAATTAAATGAACATGTATTACATATGCATATATATGGAAGCCAGAGGTTGATGTCAGATGTCTTCTCAATCTCTCTTTCACCTTACTTGAGATAGAGTCTTTAAGTAAACCTAGAGCTTTTCAATTTGGCTAGAATGTGTGGCCAGTTAAGTCTCAGGGCCTGTCTCTGCCTATCCAATGCTGGGATTACAGGTGTATACCACCAAACCTGGTTTTCACATGGTACTGGGGACTGAATCCAAGTCCTCATGTTTACACAGCAAGCACTTTACAGACTGAGCCAAGTTTCAACCCCTATAAATATAATTTATGGCTGCTTTCACTCTGCTTTGAAAGTAATGGTTGTTCAAGACAGAAGCTACCTGATAAGAGGTAGGGAGAGAAAAAAAACTCAAATAAATATCAACCTAAATTGCTATAAAATATCATAAATCTAACACTAAGCAATTACAAATGAAACTAACCAGTATAGTATCCTGTTTGGCGTCTAGATTTTTTTTTAAGGATTTATTTATTTATTATGTGTACAATGTTCTATCTGCATGTACCCCTGCAGGTCAGAAGAGGGCACCAGATCTCATTACAGATGGTTGTGAGCCATCAAATGGTTGCTGGGAATTAAATTCAGGAGCTCTGGAAGAGCAGCCAGTTCCCTTAACCTCTGAGCCATCTCTCCAGCACTGGCTTCTAGATCTGAAGGTTACATTTACTTATCCATGAGGGCTGAGACACACATTTGGGACTTAATGAGAGAACTGGAAATGTGGCAAACCATCAGTATGATTTGCAAGCTAGTTAAAAGACTACACAAATGGTTACTGGGAAATAGATGACACATTCTTTGAATCTTTTCAAAATCTACACAGCACAAAATAAAAACCAAGTAGAGGAGTATCAGCTTATTTTCTCATATAAAAGTCTGAAAACAACAGAAATCCCAAGGTTTATGCTTACAGTTCTTGCACTGACTTTTATCAAGCTACTTTGTAATAATTTTTTCCTAGGTTCCTTAAGATCCAGTAAGTTCTAAAAGGAAGCTCATTAAAACTCAGAAGTTCTAGGGCCGGAGATTTGGCTCAGTGGTCAGATTGCTTGTTGCTCCTACAAAAAACCAGGGTTTAATTTTTAGCATCTACATGATGGTGCATGATCATCCTTAACACCAGTTCCTGGGAATCAACATCTTCTTCTGGCCTCTGTGGACATGCATATGGTACACATACATACAAGCAAAACATACATACATTGTTTAAAAAAAAAGAAAGAAAGAAAAAAAAAACTCCAAAATAAAAGACTCAGAAGTTTTAAAGGCAAGATCATTAAGATTCAGGAAGTAAACTTTAGAGTCTCAGGAAGTTCATGAAATTGACCAGAGGTACAAGGCACCTCCCTTTCGAAGCTTATGTAAGTTACAAAGACTACCAAGGACACAGAGATCAACCATGCTGCCTAGAAAAAGGCAATCTGCCAAGCTGCCTGTTAAGAGTTCCAGACTAGCTAAGTAGCCTCTAACCTGGTGAGTTGCCTTCAAGTTAAGCAGTGTGCTCTAGGATTCCTGCTTTGGTCAGCTATCACCCACGCTGGGATGGCTTTGGTCATTCTTGCTCCTGTAAGTGGCCCCATAAACTTACTGGCTTGCCAACATAGACCTAAGTGGCATTTGTATTTTGGTATATCCCTGCTTTCCTAACTAAGGTAAGTAGACATTTAAGACTCTCCAAGGAATAACACACCGCAGGCCCTAGAGACCAAGAGCAGTCTGGAAAGGGAAACTTCTCGCAGATAATTTATCAAATTATAAGCCTAGAATTGAATGTACTAATCCCCCCAATATTTATTTATTATGTGTACATCTGTGCACCTGGTGTGTACTTTGTCTTCTCGGAGGTCAGAAGAGGAAGTCAGATTCCCTGGGATTGGAGTTACAGATGATTGTGAGCTACTATGAGGGTGCTGGGAGTTAAACTCAGGTCCTCACTAAGAGCATCTAATGATCTTAACTGCTGATCCATTTCTCCAGTCTGATATGCTAAACTCTTAGGCTGAAGAACTGTCTCTGGATAAGTATTAAACACCTTCTAGGATCAGAAGTAGTCTGACAAAGGATCTTCTAAGTTCCACTATAGATAGGATAATAGCTCCAAAGGCATCTATATCCTAACCTTCAGACATAGAAATTTACCTTACATAGTAAGACATTCCGGCAGATGTGACTAAGTAGGATGAGATGCAGGTTTCCTGGACTCTCCAGGTAGGTCAGTGTACCAAGTGTTGTTTTAAGCCAATAGACCTGTCATAACTTAAAGCACCAAACAGAAAGCTAAAGTATGTTATTCCTTACTTATCTTACAAGTGAAAACAAAAGTTCAAAGTAAATGACCTTGTTTTCCAAGACAGCATGGGTAAGCAAGTGCACTTGGCCCAATGGATTATGTCTGGTGACTTCCCACTATACTCACTCGCTCTGTGCCACTTCTCCTGAGAGCTAACCTTCTGAGATAGAAAACTCTAAAAGAGAAAATCTTCAGAAAAAAAAAGAATGTTTCTAGCTTTAAACTGGTTATAGTCAAGGGCAATGTGCTATTTAATGTGGGCATCAAGAGGAGCTAAGATGCTGAAAGTGAGAGGTGTGTCTGAAGCTGCAGGGCCTTAAAGCAAACTATGAAGGAAGAGTCGAACTAATCATTTCAAACTTGGTGAAGAGGTGCAAAAGATAGAGAAAGAAGAACTAGAACAGACTGGCCAGTCGTATAGAAAGTCATAGTCTACAACAAAACAAAGAAAAGGGCTTAAAACTTAGATTTTGGACATCAAGCTAGTGTCTGAGTTTCGAGCAGTAAGGGTCATACTGTAAACATGAAGTGCTGAAGCAAATGGGTGACACACTTTCCATGCAGTGCTGTGCCTGGTCTCCAGAGATGCAATGACAGTTCAGCCTAGAGATTCTTGGAATCCAAATTCCATGTAACAGTGTAAGAGGGGTTACAGAGCCTACAGGGCAAGTGAGAGGTCTCAGGGTTCTATAGGGTGCTGTCCGAAGCTGTCTTTGTAGCTAGTGAGTACCCAACCCCTGGAAATTCCAAGGCAAGGTCCTATTTTCTCAGGAGTCTTCAGTTTTAATGTGTTTCCTGTAGGACCAGTGAGGGTTCTGCAGTAAGGTAGGCAGTGCAACCTTCCCTCTAGGATGCTCCTGCAGGACTAAGCCCATCGTGGAATGTCCTAGGTATTAAATGAAAAGTAGCTTAAAATGCCAAGCTCTCCTACAACTGAAGAGGATGGACAAGGACCACCAAATTGTACCAACAGTTCAGTTACCTATGACCTTCAGGAGAAGGTGAGACTCAGCTCAACCCAGCCCAGCTACAGCTTCCCAAAGTCTCAGGTCAAGTCACTGCAATAGCAACCACATTTGTGATCCCATTTTACTGTATCCCATGGTTTCCAAACAGACAACTATACTGTTACTTAAGACACCTACAGGTTTGGTCAGTGATGGAGAATAGCTTTGGAGGAGCAGGGGAATGCAGACCCAAGAGCTGGATCTTTATCAAAACTTCATTAAGAGAGTCCAGCAGTCATGGCTAGACAAATCTAAGTCCATTCATACAAAATGTTAAGCAGGCAAAAAAACAAAAACAACAACAACAACAACAACAAAACCTGTAAGAAAGCTAGTGATTATCCTGGGCTCTGAAGTGATAAGGAAAGACTGTTCCATGGGTATAATTTCTTCTAGAGGGTGATGGAAATGGTCTGAAACTTTATAGTGGTTAACAGTTGTACAATACAGCATACGAACCCCCACCACTACCACTTAAGTCAGTGTCTCTGTGTAACCCTGGCTGCCCTGGAATCAGGAAATCTGTCTGCCTCTGCTGTGATTAAAAGCATACATCACCATGTCTGGAACTAAATACTTTAAAATGGTAGGGATTTTTTGTTATTTGCTTTTGGTTATTGTTAAGACAGGGTTTCTACTGTCTATTCTAGAACTCTCTCTGTAGACCAGGCTGGCCTCAAACTCATAGAGATTCACCTGCCTCTGCCTCCCAAGTGCTGGAATTAAAGGCATGCACGGCCACACCCAACCAAAATGGTAGATTTTAACCAAGCAGTTGTTTACTCAGAAAGGATCTGTTATTGGCCTACTGATATCCTTAGTGAGTGAATTTGTGTATTCACAGTGTAGGGCAATGTGATTTGAATCCTTCCAGAATATAAGCCAATTATACAGGCCCTTCAGAAATTATATCCTAGCCCAAGATAAAAAAATGGGGGTAAATACCACTTTTCTTCACAGGAACTAAGGATCTACATTTGTATACTGAAACTCTACAGAAGGCTATGGTGTTCTCTCTCTCTCTCTCTCTCTCTCTCTCTCTCTCTCTCTCTCTCTCTCTCTCTCTCTCTCTCTCTCGTACCATGGGAAATCAAGGACCTCAAGCTTACTAGCCTAGTATGCTGAAACAAACTATTCATTCATTCATTCATTCATTCATTCATTCAACTGCTCGCTTAGTTTGCTTGTGGGATTTTTTTTTTGTCTGTTTGTTTGTTTTTTTAAGATTTATTTATTTACAGCCAG